TTTTTTTTTTTTTTTTTTTTTTTTTCTGAAAAATAACAGCAACAAAGCAAAGAAACATAACAAATTTAGACACATCAGTTTACATTGGGATGAAAATAGGCATAGATCATTCCGATAATCCAAATATATCGGTCGAGTCCAGATCTGAAATGCCATTCATGCAATTTAGGGAGTTGAGGTTTTGCAGGATCGGTATAACCTGTTAGATATCCAAAAAGAAGAGAAGAAAAGGAAAAGTGATCATTAGGCAACATATGGATTAGACAAAACAAATGCAGAAAACCAAATGGTTTAAAGGTTGCTATAGTCTTCAAAGAAACCCAATTATCTAAAAATTTTCCAGTAAAAGAATATATGATTTGAGTTGACAATCTAGTACGCAAACAGAAAAACCCACAGCCTACCATTGAACTTGTAGTATACCGAAACTTTACAAACAACCAAGCTAAACAGTCAGCTACAAAAATAACTTCCGCAAACAAAGAATAGCTTGATATATGAAATCAAAATAACTGGAGGACCTTGCCACCCCACAAAACATAAGATGGATCAAAATACCTAGAGACAAAGAAACAACTATCTGCACTTCTATTTAATTTTTCCCTTTTTTTCTTCTGGGCAAGAGGCGTGATTCAGTGCTTACCTAAAAGGATTGTCAAAGGACTCCAAAATGCATCGAAAACACCAGGAACTTCCCAAATGAGAATTACCACAAGAAAGCAAGCAAGAATCTTCACTGCTATCACTGATCTTTTCTCGTTATACTTATTACAAATACCGAGAGCTCCATAAACCATCAGAGTGAAAAGTGTATGCATTGGACAGATGTAGTACAGCATATAATCATTGTTGAGAACGATACAGCAAAAGATAACAAAGAAATTTAGCCGCCACATCATCTGCATATAATGATAGATATTAACAAAAGTTACTTGATCACCATCTCTTTTCGGCCAGTGCTGGGGGATGGGGGAGGGGTGGGTTTGGTGGTTTTATTCATAAAGCTTTCGAGGTAGAAAGAGTTTTAAACTTGGAAAAAAATAACCTGAGCAAAGCGAGCAACACTAAAATCCTTTCTGATGTAATAATACGAAAAATTTCCAAATCCGGTCATCCAAACATATGCAGCAATAAAA